CGGGGTCGTGGGAGGGGTTGGGTTCCATTTCTGGCGGGAAGGTCGCGAACTGTCCCGCTCAGATCCGCCCGCCCTCCCACCACGCAAGGAGCACCCAAGTCTCAGCATACAGGGGGCCACCGTCGACAACCATTGGAAACCAACGCAGGCGCCAACCATGTGCGCGACGCCCGGGCAGTGCGCCGCGCGCGCCAGGTGCGCCACGCGCACCATGTGCGCAGTGTGCCCTACGGGCCCGACATGGGGGAAGTATGGGGAAGTGACGCACGCTGATCCTGCCACTGGGGATCTCGGTGTAGGTCCTTATGGGGCCACGAAAAGTGTTGAGTGGTTTGCCGAAGTGGACGGGGCCCTTGGGGGCCTCTGTGGGGCCGCTGTGGGGCTTCTTGTGAGACAGTTGATAATGCATATGGGTGTGGCGGCGAAGCGCGTCAAGGATGTGTTGACATGGGCGGGGGGACGCATGCGGACCCTGTCACTGGAGCCTTTGGTGGAATTGTGCGAGGGGACGGATGCGGACCCTGTCAAAGGGGCCTTCTGCGGAGTTCTTATGTGGTCACGGAGAGTATGGGGAGCGTGCGGGCATGCACTTGGTGATTGTTGAGATGGTGACGACGTTAATCGTGATAATCATAACGATGATGCTGCTGGTTATGATGATGACTCTTATTAAGGTGATGGAAGTAGCATTGATAGGGGCGATCAACGTGGGCCCTGTGGGGGACACAAGCATTAATGAGAAGAAAGTCGCCGGAGGATGTGTGGATCGGGGGGCTTGCGGGATTAAAGACCCCTTTGCTTGACCGATCGTGCTTTGGACCGGCTCGGGGAAACCCGAGGGCCCTCAAGAAGGTCCCAAGAGAGCCCCAAATTCCCCCCGCAAAAATCTCAACAGTGTCCAAACAAATGCTAAGCGAATTACAATTTTGGGCAGTCCGCTGACGATTTGTCTCGGGTTTTGCTTTGATTGTTGCGCGCCCTCATCGTTCCATTTTTTGATCCTACGCGCTCCCGATCAAACAAATCGTTTCGATATTGTTTCTGGATGGGCTGCTGGCGACACGCGAAACGCAATACTTTATAAGATGACAACGGGAATATGTATACACTTGGCTACATTTCTTCAAAATCCTCTTTCATCTTTCTTTCGTATCCAAATGCTCTTGTGATATCAAGCTCGGCAACGGATACTCACATGATTGCAAGTCGAAAGAACATGCCATTCGCGCCCGCCAGAACATGGCATCCGTCAACCTTCGCTCCTGATTCAAGCCATGATGCCAACGAACTTGTTACAACACTGCGTTCCCCGACAGCACAAACAAGAAGAACGCGTCTGGCAAATGCATCGAACACATCACTTGAATAAAGCTCAGATCCAACGGGCCCGTTACTGGATGAACCTTCTAACGCTGGTGCTGTTTAGACCCTGTGGTGTCGCGCGGAAACCTGAACGTTTTCACGCACTCGTCCTTCCGACACCATGCAAACGGCCATTGCCGCTGTATGCTCCGATGAACAAGCCGTTTCTCTTTGCGGCGTTCTTTCGCTAACCCCGCTACGCGTACATGAACAGACACCTTCGCGAATGACAAATAATGCTATTAACTCTGCTGCTGATGTGATCGCACATTGGTTTGCCGTGTTGCGTGGTCGGACGTACATAACGGCACTTGCAACATCAAAATCCAAGCGCCGCCGACAAACGTTGAATGCCCGCTTCCAACATGCTCGGGCCTGATCAACTTGAGCTGTACACCGACATACCATAAGCACGGAACTCTGCTTGGTTGATTGGTGCACCACTCCGTGAGGCCTTCGGAACGAAGCAGCATGTGAATGCATGAAAAAGCAAGTCGGTTCGATTGAAGCATTACGTATAAGCGTTTTCGGCTTCAGCCATATGTTGCTGGGTGGAGAGGTGCTATGTCATGATGGAGCTGAGCTAGTTCATTGCATGTTCGCGCGCAAACTGTTCATGCATTTTGTACAAGTGTAAGCATCCAACATGCACAACATGCATACATCGGATGATGTCATGTAGGATGCTGGTTTTCAGAATGGAGGCGCGGGGGTCTAATTTTCAAGGTTCTTGGACCTTCTTGGAATCTTCGTTGTGCAGAGACGCGCTGTCATTCCGCCTTTTACGCGTCGACCAACACACGCGCCATCCGCCACCGTGCTTGCACGGAGTGGGCGTGTTAGAATGCTTGCTGTTGCCTGGGACGTTTCTTACATTTTCTAGGGCCGCCCCCAACCTCCCCCCTCGGCCCGCGTGTGTTTAAAGCCCCCCCCATCCACCGAAATGTCTCCACAGTGAGCTTTTCGGCCCCCATACGGACGGCCAAGACGGCCTCCAAAACAGCACCAACACTGCCCAAGATGACAGAAGATGGCTCAATAAGCTCTCATGACAGCCCCAAGACGCCCCAACAAGCCCCCGAGACTGCCTAGGCGGGCCCCAGTGCGCCCTCCATCAGAGCCTGATGAGGCCCAAACCATGTGTTTCATTTGATGCTTTCAACAAGTTTTGAGGTTTTCTCTTTTGATGTTTCCGACCGCCCACGTCGGCCCAAGGTGCCTCCACTGTAGCTCCAAGGCAACCCATGAGGCCCCCGAGATGTCCCAAGATCGCCCAAGATGCTCCCAAGCGGGCACCAAGACTGCCCAGAGAAGTCCCCAAGACGGCGCGTCCCTAAGACGGCCCTGTCAGCCCAGGGGGCCGCGAAGGGGCCCCAGGAGGCCCCCTAGAGGCTCCCCAAGAGGCCCGCCAGGAGGTTCCCAGGAGGTTCCCAGGAGACCCCCAAGGGGGCCCCAACAGGGCCCCCCAAAGTTTTTGCCTCCTCGCTGCTGCGCTGTTGCGCAAGCGCTGCGGCGGGGTTTGCCGCACGCAGCTGGATAATTCCACCGAACTGGAATTGACAGCGGAAGCGGCGCTTCAGCTTAACACTTCGAGGCGCTCGTGCTCGGCCGTGACATGTACCATTGCTCACTGCGCGGGCAAACAAGTGCAATTATGCTGTCCTCACGTTTGGTGCGCAACATGTTACACACCATGGCCTAGTTCGGGGGCTGAGCCCCTTCGTACAAAGCACGCAACCAACTCAAATCCAGATGGTTACAAAGAGAAAAAAGCAAGAAAGAGGAAACGGGCCGGCCACAATGGGGAATCCTAAAGCTAGAGGACAATCCCTAACAATCACATGTTGGATGGAATTCTACACGTACGCGTGGCGGCGCACGCGAAGGGCCTGCATATTATTATTGGATACGCATTCGTGCACTGGGCGCATGCTAGATCAACGCGGATGCAACGCCTGGTGAGATGATGATGGGTTCCTGGACGAGTTTACTCAATTCGCATGGTTCCCCAGTGATTCCAGCAAGTACGCGTCGGCAGACCACCTACAATATTGATGGGCAGCGGATGAGGAAGAACATGGTTTCCTCAAACAGTGCTTGCACTTAGGGGTTCTCACTTCTCGTCTAAAGCTCGAGGCCTGGTTGTCGGTCTTTGATTCCGGCCTCCCGTCGCCGCCGTCTTCGGCTCCGTTCTTGATGGTGCGACGCTCGCACCGTGTACTGCTTTACATCGCATTGCAGTGCGCTGCCCTGCATTGCAATGCGATTGCATGTGTTGCTCCACCTAGGCTGCACCATGTTGATTGGGCGACCTACACTGCACCGCGTACAGAATATGAGGCCACTGTTTGGGGCCAGCGTCGGCTACCATTCGGTTGTAATGCTTCCAGAAGCCGTGTGCGTCGATATGGTTTCGGAATGTGCGCGCGCGTTTTCTTTGTTCTCTCTCTCTCCCTGTCCTTTCTTCTCTACAACATGAAGAAGAGTAGGAGGGAAGCACATGTGCTTGCATGGTATGATTTGGCAAACACGGGTGGGTAAATACCAGCTGGGCTCGGATGATCTGATCTCATACACAAAGTACGACGGGACAAAACCATACGTACATTGCCATACAAAAAAAGGACCCCCCGGCGCGGGGTGGTGGTGGAGATCTGTCTGCAGAAGCAGAAACCATGCGTGCATCCAGGAGCGCCAACCGCCGCACGGGGCGCCCACAAGACGCCCACGTGCGTTTATGGCCCCTGAGCGCCTGACACACGTCTGGACACGGACCAGTGTCCCCTGAAGCCAACAACAATCGTGATTGGCAGTGGTGCTCTCGCCTCATCGCTGGCCGCATCCCTGGGTGAGAATGGTGCCGTCGCCCGAGCGCCGGTCACATCCATGGTTGGGAATGGTGCCCTCACCTCAGCGACAACCGCATCCCTGATTGGGGTCGGTGCTCTCGCCTTAGCGCCAGCACCAGCCGATGCGGAAACATCGAGACTGTCCGCGCGCAGTAACGTGGCTTGCGCTGAGGCGAGATCATCATTCCGAGTCATGGATGTGGCCAGTGCGGCGGCGAGAGCGGTATTCTCGGTTAAGGGATGTGGCCAGTGCTAAGGTGGACAGCACCCTTCCCAAACAGGCTCATTGCCAGCGCTCAGGCGAAATCGTTGCTCAGTACTGAATGTGACTGGCTCTCAGGCGACAGTACCATTCCCAAACGGGGATGTGGCCAGTAATGAGGCGATAGCACCCTTCTCACTCAGGGAGGTGGCCAGCCTGCAGGCGAGAATATGGTTTCCAATCAGGGATGTGGCCAGCGCACCAGTTCCAATCAACGATTTTGCTGACACCAAAGCGAGAGCACCATTCCGAATCAGGGATGTGGCCCGCACTGAGGCGAGAGCATCATTCCAAATCAGGGATGTTGCCGGCGCTGAGCACCATTCTAACCAGGGATGTGGCTCGCGCTGTGGCGAGAATACGACTCCAAGACAGTGTGCGTCCAGAACGCAGGTGTGCCGCTCACTTCGCGTGGGCCGCGTCATGTGTCACCAAGTTCTGGGTCACGTTAGCTGTGTGGTCCTAATTAGGGTGGTGGTAGACTCTCCTGGACTGGAATGAAGAGGCCGTTTTGCCAGTCCCTGTTCCGGTCCTCTTGTGGGTGCGATCGGTCTGTGCGCAGAGAACCTGCAACTTCGGAGCAGGGTGGCGTCTGAGATTTTTCCGTACAAGCTTCGCGTGTCCCGGAATACATCGTATCTTGCCATATTGGGCAAGCTTCGAGGTTTTACGCTCGTCTCGGCCTTCCCTTTGTGCCTCGCGCCTGGCTGCTCAGGCCTACGACAGCGCGCGCCAATCCACGACGAGAGCTATGGTCGCGAGTGGATGGGAAGAGGGAGGGCAGAGGGGAAGCCCGCTCAGGTGTCACCCGTCGCTGCTGGCGCCGCCGCGGGGTCCTCCTCCTGCTGCTCCGAGCCCAGCTTGTGGGCCCGGAGGCTTCCCTTCAAGTAGTCGCCGACAAACTCCTGTAGGGCCTCAGGCCCAACCTCTCTGTCTGCCGGCAGTCTATAGACGGCCTCCTTGTCGACATCGAGCAGCGCAAGCGCGGGGCTGTGCTTGACGCCGCACAGGCGGCGCACCTGCGGCGTTGCCCCAGTGGCCTGCACGCCGACGAAGAACAGCAGCGGCGGCGGCCCAGCGTCGTGGGGCCTTCTGCCCAGCGCGGCGTGAACCTCCGAGGCCAGCTCCATCAACTCCTTGAACAGCCCGTGTTGACGCTGCGGCGGCAGGCCATCAAGGAAGAGGCAGACGCTGGGCACCGTATTAATCTCCTCGATGGGCCTCGAGAGGTCGTGCACTGGTCTCTGCATAATCGCACTGCGCTCCTCCACGACATCGAGCATGACGCCGCGGGCTACTGCCTCCTCGCGCGATGGCCTCGGCAAATGCTGGGTGTAGTCGCGGTCGTGCGTGTAAGAGAGGCAGACCTTATCTGGCTCTGATGCGGTCGTGCTACGCGTACGATCTTTCCTATACGCCTCCGATCCACGGTACCCGCTGCTGGTGGACCACAGAATGAAATTCACGCGCTCGCCACTCCCGATGTTGTCAGCACCGTGCCGGTGCGTGCCCAGATGCACCACGGCCCTGCCTTTTTTGTGGCTGTATGTGGTCGTGAATTTCCTGTGATTTTGCTCCTGCGCCTGGCCACAGAAAGACAATGTAGCCGCTGTGAACTCCTTCCCCAAGCAGACGTTCACAGTCACGTCAGAGTCGTCTTCATGCATGTCAAGCCCGACGTCCTCGCCAGCCTTGTATCTCACGATGAAGCAATGGTGGTCGTCTGGACTGGTGCCTGGCCCAGGGTAGAGGGCTTCCTGCACCGGCCTCAAGTGCTCCTGCTGTAAGGTAGAGATGAGCGGCTCCAGACCGAGCTGGTTCAGAACTATGCCATACCTGTTCATGCCGTTAGGCCTCTCGAGATGCTCGCGGGCCGTCGCCTGGGCGTTCTCCACCTCCTCCAGCAGCAGGTCACAGAACTCGGGAGTGAACAGCTCGAAAGAATACACGCCTGGTGCCTCCTCGCGCAGCGCCCGGAGGGGGTCGCCATCCTGGACGGCGGCAGCTACGTCCTTGAAGCCGGGCGCCAACCACCTCTCCCAAGCCCTGGGAGCCGAGGCCTGGAACAGCTCGGGGTGGAGGGGCGCGTACTTGCCCCCTTTGAAGACGTCGCCGAAATAGAACCTGCGCCGCTTCTCGGCGGGCTCGGCCGGCATGCCTCGGGCCCGGACCTGCGACGGCACGGGCGACGGCCCCCCCGCCCTCGATCTGCCGCAGGCGAGCGCGCCGCCGCGGAGGCGCCCGCCCCCGAGCAGTCCAGCGCCGAGGGCGGCGCCCAGGCAGGCAGCGAGTGCAGCCCCAGGCTGCGAGGGCGGGGAGCCACGCGGGACCCGGGACGCCCCGCGCCGCAGGGACATTCCAAAGCCGCCTGAGCGGGAAGGAGTACGGGAAGGACGTGTGGGCGTGAGGCGAGGGCGAGAGCGAGTCCTCCGACACGTCATGACCAGTGCAACAATTCAGAGATCTCCTCGCCTCCCGATGGACCATGCGCGTTCCAATACAGCTTCGAGGTGCCCCAAGTTAGCCCAGAGAGGGGCTCATAAGAGCCCTCCAAGGGGCCCTATTGGCCAGAGGGCCACAGGTGGATATGTCGGTGGGGCTGCTGGGGCTGACCCCTCTTTTGGTCTGGCTGGTGCCCCACTCTTTGCTTTTCAAACGCTCCGGTGTGACCTTCCCTTCTCACGGCCATTCGCTCAATAGTTCGCACTGGGTGCGCTGGCGGGGACACGCGAAACAGCAACAGGGGCGCCAGAAAAGTAAGCAGCGATTCACCGAAGGGCTCGCCAATTGGTGGGGGCGAACATGAGGCCATGTGCACATATGAGCTTGTTCATTCAGATATATAGATCTACGTGTGTACAATCTATATTGTATAGTTCATGTTATCGCATACTGGCACGCGTGCATGACAAGACACTCCCTGCACTCAGAAGTGGGCTCAATGGGACCTGTACTGGACATGCGTTTAAACATGTTTTGCCAGCGTGGGCCCCAAGAAGTGGATTGTTGAATGCTCGGTGTGCAGTCTATGTGGGGCAACCTTATTGATCGGCGGTGGACAAACCTCCCTTTAGCAAACCTCCCCTAAATGAAAACGGCCTTGGACCGAAACCGTCGGACCTGGACCCGCAAAAACGGCGGCCGCGACGCCCTCTCGCAAACCGAAAACGGCCAATTCCTTAATCGACGTGTCAGGGTAGGAGGTCTATCAACCTCCGAATTGAAGCATTCTAGGTGGTGCAGTTCATTTGACAGCATTGCAATCGACAGCTGCAATTCCCGAGAAGACATCCCACCCACCCATCCACAACTGGCTGGCAAACGTCAATTGCCGCAGGGACGCAGGGACCCTTCGCATGAAGATCCATGACGCGGGCGGGCGGGTGGTGATCATGCTGACTATGAGAATGGTGGCGCTGATGACGAGGGCGAGGACAACGACGATGACGATGATTTCTTCCCCAACACATGGTCACCGACCACAGGGGGCGTGAGGAGGAAAGGAGGAGGAGGCGCGCGCCCACGCCGGCCGCGCCACCAGAGCTTCACGCCCGCTGGCGGCGACGCCGCCTCCCTCAGGCCAGGCTGGCCCCGCCAGCTGGCGCAAACGGCGCACGCTGCACAAGCCTTGATCCCCACACTCTGTAGCCTCGCGACTTGCGCTTGTCGCGTGCCTGCTCGAATGATGGCCCTTGGAGCGCGCGCGGGGCCTGGTGGAGCTGTGAGGCAAGCCTGGGGCCCTGCCAAAGCAGTGCTCGGCCTCGCGAGACTTCACGGAGCCGCGCAGCAGCACCCGACCTGACCCATGGGCGCCCGTAGGGGGCAAGCTAATCGAATGTGATGCCTTCGCCTCCTGCCTTGAGAATGCGCGCGCGGGCAGTCCTGTGTAGCGCAAGGCGCAGACCGTGAGCTTCGGCACCCTGAGCAGCCTTCCAAATCGCCCCCGATCGGACCATGGGTTTCGCAAAAGACCTTCGATCGAGAAAGCACTCTGGTTCATAATAAGGGGGGGGGGGGACGAGGGAAGGATCCAGCCACGCGCGAGGGGACGGACGGTCAAGAGCAGAGGGCGAGAGGAGACCAGCCCAAGAGATAAGAGAAATCCGCTGCCCCTTGAGCGGGCTATCCCGACGCACGCGGCCCAGGGCCCAAGCATCCACGTAGTGGCAGCACACGAGGCGTGTACATCGGCGAGCTTGCAGGTGTAGTCGCGCATCCATGGCCGGCACTATGTCATGACGAGTGGGAGCGAGACGCAGGATATTATAAATGCCTGCGTTTTCGCCCCAGCGGAGCGGACGAGTCCAGCCCCCTCCCCACAAACAAATACGTTCAAGCCCGACACGAAACCGAGCGTCCCAGCAAGCTCCTGACGCTCACGAACCAGGGCACTGGCACCGGCCAGGGGGCAGCACAGGAGGCGAGCCCAGCCGAGGATGTGGGGGGGATGTGTGAGAAGGTCGGCACGGCGGACGAGGACTCTCTGCGAACACGGGAACCTCCTAGCAAGACTCCATGGCCGGGGCCGTGTGCAACCACCATTGGGCCCCCACGAGCATGGAGCACTACGGGCGGAACCCTGTGCAACAATCATTGGGCCGCCGCGGGCACGGGGTCCTACTGGCGGGAATCTGTGGCCAAGACTCTGATGAGCAACCGCCACCAAATCATCACGAACACGGGACCATTGGCTGAGATCCTATGCGACCGCCACTGGAGATCTCCCTGTGACTTGGACCGTGTGTAAACACCACCAGGCACCCACGAGCATAGGTCCCGATTGCCGGGACTGTATGCGCCCACTGCAGACAGGTGTAAGTCCACGACTGACGGCTTCAATTTCGAAATTGCCCAATTGCTGGCGGCGCATTTAGTCACCGCATCTCGACGGCACGGGAAATGACCAGGCGCCAGAGAGCCGTCGCATGTGAGATACTGTGTACCAAGAGCTGCTGCCAGCAAGTGAAGACTGTGTGGGCGGGCACTTCGAGGGGGGCCACTGAGGCGCGCATGGCGCAACTGGAGTCTTCGCAGGAGTGCGACGAGCGCAACACATGAATAATCAACACTGCTTGAACGTTCAGTGTACGCGTGTGGAAGCAATTGTGAGCGTGGAGTTCAATAGAAAAGGTTTTTGCGTGCTAGCGTCCATGAAGTTTTGGGAGATCGGGAGATGGGGAGCGGACATCCTGGCGACCATACGACTAAAGTGAAACACGCATGGGCCTTGGAGCCTACCTCCAATGGTGCGACAACCGACCGCCAAACTATCCAGTCAATCTAGTCTGCCATACGATTCAAAGAGTCGCCAGGCAAACCAAGAACACCCCAACAGCCGACCTGCAAAAGGCAAACTCATGAAGTGGACCGTGGCCTGAGAAAGAGAGAGAGAGAGAGAGAGATAGAGAGGAGAGAAGAAGAGAGAGATCACCTTCCTGGCAACGCCCTTAGCCGCGCCGTAGCCCAGGCATCGTACTGCGGCGTGGCTGTTAACGGATCACCTCCTGGAGCCCGTCATGGGGATTTCGAGCATTGACTCGTCGTCTGGAAGCGGTGCGCCGTGCCCCACCTTCGGCACCCAACGGTCGTGTACGACACCGTCTCATGGCGATGGCGATGCGAGCTTCAGCCCTTCCAGAGATGGCAACAACCACCCAACAGGCTCCAATATATCCATCGCAGAACCACTCGAACCGCAGTACTGCACGACGAGCTGGTGCTCACAGAAAGCTCGGTGCTCCTCCGTTAGTGTGGCCATTGACCTGGGCTCGCCGAACAGAGGCTCGTAGTACTCCATGGCGACGGACAACGTGTGGTCTAGCCCGGGGCCATACGCCAGTAGCTGGCGCAGCACGAGGGCGCATCTGTCGCTCCGCTCGTCGCCCACGAAGCGGTAAGCCTTGCCGTTCACTGCGAAGCCGATTCCAGCCCCGCCTCTACCGTCGAGCGCAGAGAGCTGTGCCTCGTTGACGTACGCATTCGGTGGTGGCTCCGGGAACGCGAGAAAGGAGTCAGGCTGGACGCGCGGTACGCACGCGTGGGTTCGTAACATGCCCGTCCAAGTCTCGCAAACACCGTGCTGGAGGCAGCCCTCGACCATGACCGCGAGGTAGCGCTCGGACGGGAGAGTCTCGCTGAAATCGTGCACGGCTCCTGGGCGCATGATGTTCATGACGCAAAGCGCGAGAACTCCCCCTCCGATCTCCACCATGGCCTCCACCCGGTCATATGAGCTTTCGGAAATGTCTAGTCTGGCCTTCTCCTCGGGGGAGACGTAATGCAAAACCCCGTGGACCGCGTCGGACTGGACGCCTGGGAATACAGTGGCCATGCCAGCGTTGCCACCAAAGGCGAGCCGAAAACCGTGGAGCACTGCTGCGCAGCTCCGCGCTGGCTCCACGCCGCGCATGCGGAGGGATATTCTGTTCATCAGTGCGCCGAAGCCGAAGTAAGCGGCGGTCATGCTCCCCACCACGGGGGCAAGCCAGCGCGGCCAGAATCCTAAGCGAGCCCGAGGCTTGAGCCGAAAGGCTGCGAGAAGCCTCATTCGCACGTGCCTCAAACAATGATTTCACACTTCACCCCCAGCCAGAGTCCGCGCAACAGAAAGGTGACGGTATTCGGAGCCCTTCCGGGGGACACCATGAACAGGTGTTCGAGCTGCGCCCAGCCGCAGCGGCGAGGGGGCACGCGATGCCCCACAAAGCCCGAGGCGGGCGCGGAAGGCTCCCGGGAGGCCTTGGGAGCCCAGGGGGAAAGGACCCGGTCGCCACGAGCTGAGCGCCCCCGGTTCCAGCACGCTGGAGGCTCCTCGGAGGGGGGCCATGGGGGGCGGGGGGGTCCCTGCCGCCACGCGCCGGCAGCACCAGTGGGACATCTCGTCCAGCCTTTCTGCCTCCAAGGTCACTGTGGTCGAGGCTCCTGCGAAGTTTCTGGGAGGCCTCGCAGGCCATGCGCAGGAGGCTCCATGGATGCCCAAGCGGAGCGCTGGGACTTGTTCTTGGGGCGGCCAGGAGCTGGGAGGCGCTGGGAAGCTTATAGAGAACCTTGATGGGTTCTTGATAAGCCAGGCTCCTGAAAGTTTCGGGAAGTTTCGGGAAGCCCTGGGAAATGCTGGGAGGCCACTGCGAATGCCTTGTAACATCTGGGGAATATCGAAAGCTATGTTTTTCTTCCAGCGCTATTTTGGAGAAGGCGAAAGAAGAGGCGATAGGGAGGCAGCGCACACGCTAGGAGGCTCTGGGGCATCCTCGAGAAGCTCATGGGAAGAGGCTCGACGAAACCATGGGATGCATCTCGGTTAGGAGCAGCTGCGTGAGAGCACGGCAGCCGCGCAGCGACGCGCGGCGGCGTGGCGGATCGGGGGGCGCCCTG